ATTACCTGAGAAAATAGTGTGGGTCTGTGGGGTCTCATGTCTGTCCTGTGAGGTGCTCAACTTCAGGTAGTCAGAGCCTAGCCTCTCTTTGACCTTTCTGCCGGAACGATATCGCGGGTTTTTGACGTCTCCGATTACCTTTCTGCCGGAACGGATGTCGCGGGCTTTTGGCCTCTCCGATTTCCTTTCTTCCGGAACAGATGTTGCAGGCTTTTGGCATCTCCGATTACCTTTCTGCCGGGACGGAAGTCATGGGCTTTTAGCGTCTCCAATTCCCTTTCTACCGGGACGGATGTCACTGGCTTTGGGCATCTCCGATTGCCTGAGAAAATAGGGTGGGTCTGTGGGGTCTGATGGCTGTCCTGTGAGATGCCCAACTTCAGCTAGTCAGAGCCTTGCCTCTCTTTGACTTTTCCGGCGGAACGGATGTCTCAGGCTTTGGCCTCTCCGATTACCTTTCTGCCTGAACGTATGTTGTGGGCTTTTTGCGTCTCCCATTACCTTTCTGCTGGAACTGATGTTGCAGGCTTTTGGAGTCCCCAATTACCTGAGAAAGTAGGGTGGGTCTACCGTGTCTGATGGCTGTCCTGTGAGGTGCCCAACTTCAGCTAGTCAGGGCCTAGCCTCTCTTTGACCTTTCAGCTGGAATGGATATCATGGGCTTTTGGCGTCTCTAATTACCTGAGAAAATACCGTGGGTTTGCGAGGGCTGATGGCTGTCCTGTGAGTTGCCCAACTTCAGGTAGTCAGAGGCTAGCCTCTCTTTGACCTTTCTGCAGAAATGGATGTCGGGGGCTTTTGGCGTCTCCGATTACCTTTCTGCCGGAATGGATGTTGCGGGATTTTGGTGTCTCCGATTACATTTCTGCAGGAACGGATGTTGCGGGCTTTTGGTGTCTCTGACTACCTGAGAAGATAGGGTGGTTCTGCGGGATCTGATGGTTGTCCTGTGAGGCGCCCAAGTTCGGGTAGTCAGAGCCTAGCCTCTCTTTGACCTTTCTGGTGGAACGGATGTCTCAGGCTTTGGCGTCTCCAATTACCTTTCTGCCTGAATGTATGTTGTGGGCTTTTTGCGTCTCTGATTACCTTTCTGCCGGAACTGATGTTGTGGGCTTTTGGAGTCTCCAATTACCTGAATAAGTAGGGTGGGTCTACCGGGTCTGATGGCTGTCCTGTGAGGTGCCCAACTTCAGCTAGTCAGAGCCTAGCCTCTCTTTGACCTTTCTGCCAGGACGGATGTGGCGGGATTTTGGCATCTCCAATTCCCTTTCTGCCGGGACGGATGTCACGGGCTTTTGGCGTCTCTGATTACCTTTCTGCCAGAACTGATGTTGCGGGCTTTTGGAGTCTCCAATTACCTGAGAAATTAGGGTGGGTCTACCGGGTCTGATGGCTGTCCTGTGAGGTGCCCAACTTCAGCTAGTCAGAGGCTAGCCTCTCTTTGACCTTTCTGCCAGAACGGATGTCACGGGCTTTTGGCGTCTCCGATTACCTGAGAAAATAGGGTGGTTCTATGGGGTCTCATGTCTGTCCTGTGGGGTGCCCAACTTCAGCTAGTCAGAGCCTAGCCTCTCTTTGACCTTTCTGCCAGAGCGGATGTCGCGGGCTTTTGGTGTCTCCGATTACCATTCTGCCGGAACGTATGTCATCGGCTTTTGGTGTCACCGATTACCTTTCTGCCGGAATGGATGTTGCAGGCTTTTGGCGTCTCCAATTCCCTTTCTGCCGGGACGGATGTCACGGGCTTTTGGCGTCTCTGAATACCTTTCTGCCGGAACGGATGTTGCGGGCTTTTAGCTTCTCCGATTACGTTACTGCTGCAACCGATGTCGCAGGCTTTGGGCGTCTCCGATTACCTTTCTGCCAGAATGGATGTTGCGGGATTTTAGCGTCTCCGATTACATTTCTGTCGGAACGGATGTTGTGGGCTTTTGGCATCTCCAATTACCTGAGAAAATAGGGTGGGTCTGCAAAGTCTGATGGCTGTCCTGTGAGGTGCCCAACTTCAGCTAGTCAGAGGGTAGGCTCTCTTTGACCTTTCTGCCAGAACGGATGTCGCGGGCTTTTGGCGTCTCCGATTACCTTTCTCCCAGAACAGACTTCACGGGCTTTGGGCGTCTCCAATTACCTTTCTGCCAGAATGGATGTTGCGGGCTTTTGGCGTCTCCCGTTACCTTTCGGCCAAAATGGATTTCGCAGCTTTTGGCGTTTCCGATTACCTGAGAAAATAGGGTGGGTCTGCGGGGTCTCAAGGCTGTCCTGTGAGGTGCCCAATTTCAGCTAGTCAGAGCCTAGCCTCTCTTTGACCTTTCTGCTGGAACTGATGTCGCGGGCTTTTGGCCTCTCCAATTACCTTTCTTCTGGAACGGATGTCGCAGGCTTTTGGTGTCTCCGATTACCTTTCTGGCCGAATGGATGTCGTGGGCTTTTGCCGTCTCTGATTACCTGAGAAAATAGGGTGGGTCTGTGGGGTCTGATGGCTGTCCTGTGAGGTGCCCAACTTCAGCTAGTCAGAGCCTAGCCTCTCTTTAACCTTTCTGGCAGAATGGATGTTGTGGGCTTTTTGCATTTCCGATTACCTTTCTGCCGGGACAGATGTTGTGGGCTTTTGGCGTCTCCGGTTACCTTTCTGAGGTAATGGATGTCACGGGCTTTTGGCGTCTCCGATTACCTTTCTGCCAGAAAGGATGTCGCGGGCTTTGGGCATCTCCGATTACCTTTCTGCTGGAACGGATGTCGCGGGCTTTTGGCATCTCTGATTACCTTTCTCCCGGAACGGATGTTGCTGGCTTTTGGCGTCTCCAATTACCTTTCTCCCGGAACAGATGTCACGGGCCTTTGGGGTCTCCAATTACCTTTCTGCCGGAACGGATATCGCGGGCTTTTGGCGTCTCTGATTACCTTTCTGTCGGAACAGATGTCCCGGGCTTTTGGTGTCTCCGATTACCTTTGTTTCGGAACGGATGTCGCGGGCTTTTGGCGTCTCCGATTACCTTTCTGCCGGAACGGATGTCGTGGGCTTTTGGCCTCTCCGATTACCTTTCTACCGGAATGGATGCCACGGGCTTTTGGCGTCTCCCAGTACCTTTCGGCCAGAATGGATGTCACAGGTTTTGGCGTCTCCGATTACCTGAGAAAATAGGGTGTGTCTGCGGTGTCTCATGTCTGTCCTGTGAGGTGCCCAACTTCAGCTACAGTGAAGTGTTTTTATTTAATTAAAATTCTCTATATTATGTCCTTTAGACCCTCTGAACCTCTCTGAAGTGACCTTGTCCCTTGATGAGCCATAATGTTCCAAAACATCTGCCACCTGCACTTTCTTCTCAGAGCCTTGAGTATCTGTGATGTAAAGAACACTTCTCAAAGTAAGGGCATTAATTCTGCAAGATGGGTATGTCCTTTAAGGACCTATGTTTGTTGTTTTGTTTCCTCTCCCACCTTCTTGCTGTTGTTATTATGTCAAGTATGTCAGCTAGTCCTTTTCACTTATAAGCAGTCATCTATACTAAATTTCTACTCTTGATAATTCCTTGAGTGAGTTTTGCTTTCCAGAATAAATTTTGCCAGAAACAGAAGTCTGTTTGGGGGCAGGTGACGAAGCATTTTAGAAACTATTGGTGATATGTATTTCAAGATAGGGAGATGTTGATTCACATATAGAGCTAATAATAGAGATGTTCTAAAACTGGAAAAAGAGAATATGAGTGAGGTGGCATTGGCTAAGCCTTGTATGAAGTTATGACGTTATAAGTATGAAGATATCTGTGAATTCGGTATCACATGGTATCTTAGGGTCATAGGCACACTGGAAGCCAAGAGTTAGGGTATTGGGGTCCTAATAGGAAAGAACTACATTCTTTAAATAGGAAAAATAAAAGACAGATATGAAAGTGAACAGGGTGACTTCAAGAAGCAAGAAGATTCAGACCTGGATAGATGGAGTCATGGTTGAGTGTGTTTATAAGATCTTACACTTTGCACTTTTATTTTCTAGGTAGTGGTTGTTATTATGTACCGTCAAGTCAAATACTATTCATAATGAACCCATGGACATCATATCTAAACCACAATCTATCCTGTGCCATTCTCAACACCTCTGCCATACTAGAGTCTACTCTTACAGCCACTATGTCAATGCATCTCATTGAGGGTCTTTTCCTCCTTCTCTAGCATCCACTTTTCTAAGCATGATATTTTTCTCCACGGACTAACCCTTCTTTCTTTAAAAAAATTGTGATTTTAATGGATGTATACAGAAACATTGGATTTTCACTCATTCATTGTTGCACATTTTCCTCCCTCCTCCTCCATTTTCCCTTTCCCAGTTCACTTACTTTCTTTCTTTTTTAAAAATGTTCATTCATGATTGCACAATCTCCTCCCTCCCACCCTTCTTTCCCTTTTCCCTCCACCAGTTCTATTTGCAATGTACCTCTTGTTCTGGACTGGCTGCTCCTTGGCAGCAAGGATTCTGAAGCTCTGTCTGACACACTTTGGGCATGTTGCTAGAAGGGGAGGCATGCTACAGTCCTTGGACAGGGACATCATGCTTGGGAAGGTGGAAGGAGAGTGCAAAAGACCTTTGATGAAATGGTTGACTCAGTGACTAGGGTAATGGGGTAGGTGTGTAAGAGACAATAGGTTGAGTCAGGATAGAGCAGGGTTCAGAGTTGTACATAGGGTTACTATGAGTTGTAGGTGACTTGATGGTGTATAAAAACAAAAACAATTACAATAATGTAATTTTATTGACAATTCAAGTGAAAATATTCTCAAGTAAAAAGATTTCCGTTTGCCTAATGCAAAGCAGTTGCATTCTGGAAGTTCAAGATTCTCTTTTTTGGTGAGGGTCAGGTGTGTGTAGATTGTTTAATTGTGGGTATTTGTTTTGTCTTGTGCGGTTTTTTGGGTTCACAACTGGCTATGAGCTGATTGGATTTGCCAGGTTTAGCTAACAATGAGTTGCGGGCTAGAAACCTCTTATCTAGAATCAACCAGAACCTGGGGGTGGGCCCTTGTATTTAAAAGGCAGTAGGGTCCTCCAGCCTGCGGCCTTTGGGCCTTGTGTTAATTGTGTTTCGGATAAACAGTCTTCTAAGCAAAGCAGGAGTGGCATCCACTGCCTGAACAATATGCCTCTGGAAACTCTATGAACTTTGATAAATGATATTAGTGATAGAAAAGCTTCAGTCCTTTGTTTATAGGATCACTGCGAGCCGTGCTCAAGTCAAGGGCAATCCACAATGATGAAAAGTGGTATAGCACTAGTCTGTCAATATGCTGTACTGAAGTAACTTGGGGTTGCTGTGTTGCTGAAAACTGTGCCACTGATGTGTCAGCTGTCATAATAGTTCCCCATCATAGACAGTGTTTTGTGGAACTCTCAGATTGATACAAGCTTGGAAGCAGGAGTGACATCCACTTCCTAAACAACATCCCTCTGGAAACTCTATGAACATAGAGAAACTACAATAATTATAGAACAGGGTTCAGGTCTTTTGTTCATAGCGTCATTATGAGTTGTGCTCATTTTAATGGCATTTAACAACAACAACAACATATTCCTTTTACATAGTTCTCTCCCTCATCTGTTCCAATACAGTGCTCATGATCTATTTACTCTTTTCCTATTTTCCTCCCAGCCCCTGTATACTGCTTCATAACAGTGGCATTATGCAGTATTTGTCCTTTTGAGACCGAGGCATTTCACTCAGCATTATGTTCACCAAAGTTACACACGTGGTATAATGTTTTACAAGTTTATTATTTTCCAGTGCAGCATAGTATTCCATTGTGTAAATATACCATAGTTTTTTCAATCCATTTGTTTGTTGATGGGAACTTGGGTCAATTCTATCTCTTTGCTATTGTGAATAACACAGCAATAAATACAGGTGTGCTTACATCTGTTGGGATGGCAGTTCTGGTTTATTTAATGTATATTCCCACTAGTGCAATTGCTGGGTCAAATAGTATTTCTATGTCTAACTCTTTTTTTTTCCAGATCTTTTTTTTTTTTTGTGGTTAAGCAAAATAATTAACTTTCTATTGTGAATTTTGGGAAGGTTTACATTTTGGGTGAAACGTTACATTACAAATTGGTTTTCTTTTAAAAAACAACTTTTCACTGTGCTTTGAAAGCTTACAGACCAAAAGGGTTTTAGATTCAAGAGTGCATACACACGTTTCCTAAGAGATTGAAATCCCCCTTAAAGGAACATCACTCATCCCATTTCCTCCCAGTTTCCCATTCCCAATTTTCTGCCTTTAAGACAAATGTTACCTTTTAAAGACTACCTCCCAGGGTGGGGAGGGTGTCCTTATAATCTGCTATATTGTTGGGCTGACAACTGAACCATCCCATCCATAGGGGTTAGTCCAGTTTCAGACCTGAAGGGAGACTAAGGACCATAGTCTTAGGGGTCCTTTCTCTGGTCAGCAAGCCTGGTCTCTTGGATGATGGTGAAATTTTGCCCCATGTTCTTTCTCTCACTGGTTCAGAAGCTCCTAATACAACCCTTTCAGGGAGGTTAAGTGTTAACCATGCACCATATATAGTTCTGGTCTTTTTATTCTACAAACTCAACACTGACAGCCATTCCTTTAAATCAATATTCCAGTCTCCTCTGCTAACTCAAACTATGTTTAAAGGAGCCCTGATGCCACAGTACTAAAAAACTGGCAGCAACTGCAATAATGGCAACTCAAATCTACCAGTGGGTATTGCTGCTGAAGACCAGACCCGTAAATGGCTTCCACCAACAGTGTTACTAAGTACTGGTGACTTGGTCTTGACTCAAAGCACCACTATTACAACAGAACTAAACAATCTGTTCCATCTTCACAATCGTTTCTATGCTAGAACCTATTGTTGTAGCCAGCCTGTCAATCCAGTTGGTTGAAGGTCTTCCTCTGACCTTTTATCAAGCATGATTTTGTACTTCATTAAGTGCTTAGAAGCAAGGAGAGCCTGCCCAGAGAAGGACAGTCAGGAATGCCAGAGCTGGTGCGATGCCTCTGTAAGGTCAAAACACAGGAGGGTTTCTTGAAGAGTGCAGTGGTGTGGGGACCAGTCTCCAAGAGGAGAACTCTAAGGCAAGATGCAGCACAGATCTCGGGTGACCCTTAAAGCAACACTCCTGGCTAAGAGGTCCTGACTGTCAGCCTGGCAGGCAGACAACCCTGAATGGCCTCAGGGAAAAGGGATGCTTTCGGTGAGGATGTGACCCACC